TTATAACCCAGAAATAGTCAAGTCAGTTTTTATTTATCCGTATTTGATCTATAAGTAATCAGAAAAGTGAAACAGCATTGGATATTCTGTTACATTTTYCGTTGCTTTATTAAATTTAAAATACATTATATRCTATAAATTATAATAAGATATTATATTAATTATAATTWTTTTTTTTAATAACGAAAATCGATAGGTGAACACTGTTAAAAGAATTTCCCTTATTAATTGGTGRCATAATTACAACAAGTACAACGATCACAAATGTTTTTTCCGCAGGTGAACATCGTAGAGATCCCCGGAATATTAGAAATGCGTAAACACGTGGACCGGGTATTCCCGTTCAACGATGTGTGTCAATGGTTCATCGACAGGGCTGACATGATATTCTTAGTGTACGACCCGGCGAAATTGGACGTTGGCCCGGAAACCGAAGCAATATTGGACCAACTTAAAGGCAGGGAATATCAGGTTAATATACGATATGGAGTAAATTTTATAAGCATCGTTAAGTAGGGTTTGTTTTTTAATTTGGTCTCTCGCCCAATAACAACATTACGTTCATGACTATTATATTATGTATATTACATTATTATACTCGAGTTAAATTTGTTCTCTCTCTTTCTCTATGTTTCGTTTAGACAAGGATATTGTTAAATAAGGCTGACAAAATTCGCGCCGAAGAACTAATGCGCATACAAGGGACGCTCATATGGAACATAAGTCCACTCATGTCCAGCGCCGAACCTCCGGTCATTTATTCGGTGTCATTATGGTCAAACCCGTATGAAATTGGGTCTCCGGCCAGACTTCTACACTCTCAAGAACTTTCATTCTTGAGAGACATCCGTTCGGCAATCGACAGGCGAGTTGAAAACAAAATAGCCAGTGCTCGGCGATTCGCGGTACGTACAATAATATCATAAATTACAATATTTATAGAATATTTATTAACAGATTTCAACTAAAAAAAAAATACTTTAAGTTATAACATGTTCTTACAGAAAAAAAATCTAATTTTATTTTACATTAAATAAATGTATAATATGTGTTAATGTATATGATTTTTAAATTTTTTTAGTGACTTAATTGGTAACCAATAATTTATCATAGATTTTTCCCAGTTTGTGTATTGAAAATGGTTTTCTTCTTTTTACTTAATGGGTATGATAGCCTATAATTCAAGCTATATTCAAACATTTTTTTTTTCGAAGTTACAATAATCAACTTAAACTCCCATCATTTTATCCTATGGTATAAATTTAGGATATATAAACTATATATTATATTATATTATTATCATTATAGTCTATATAGTTAGCAATTTTATAAATATAATAATATACACAAAAATTAGAAATAAATAATRTGGCACGATTATTGTGTGTTGCAGGTGAGAGTGCGAAACCATGCGAAGATGGTCGACTGTTATTTAACTACGTACTACAACCACAAGTCGTTCTTCGCAAACCGAAAGACCGTTAGTGACGATATCATAGAGAACCCACAAAACTATCACATCTACGAGGGCCTGAGCACGCTGACCAACATATCTAGATATGATCTGCCCGATCCGGACGTGTACCGGGACTTTTTCCGACTGAACCCCGTTTATGAGTTCAAGCGGCTGTCCGACACGTGCACGTACTTCCGGGGTTGTCCGATCAACAAGCTGGACATGGCCATTGCTTACGATCTGCCCGACCTGATCGGCCAATACAAAAGACAAGAAGAACAACTAGTGACAGATGTGCCGTGAAAATTCGACGACAATTATGTTACCCAAAATCCATCGAACATACAGCTGATATATTATAATATCATAAATATTGTTTAATATTCAAATATTATTGTTTTACCAATTATTTATTCGTTTTCGTGTAGAATATTTTTTTCTCTCTCTTTTTGATTTATATTAAATTGTTAGATATTAATATGTGTGCGTCCAAAAAAATTGTTGCCATTTCTAAAAATGAACAAAAAAGTACATCTTAAAAACGTGATAACTATAGTATATTATAATGAAATGTCATGTATAGGTATACGATCATCAGCGACGTGCGTTACGATAGACACCACATTACAATAATAGTACAATATAATATTATATTATATATATTATTATATTTCGTACCTGTAGTATCATGACAGACTTTTTTAAAACCGTCTTTTACGTTTAATAATTTTCGTTAATTTTTATTCTCGATGAAGTAAGATCTCGGGACCAGTGACGTGTTTAAGATGCTATTTTTAAGCTGGAAATGTGAATCCAACTGAAAGAGTAAAATGTGTATACCATATAGCGGCTTCCGAAACAGTTTGCTCACATAATTGGCAATTGACCACTCGGTGGGGGGTATACGCATGTATTTTGTATATTATTATACAGGGTGCCTTGCTGTGTTTTATCAGTATTTCGCATGGTYAGCACGCGGAAAAACGAGAAAACACCATGATCCACTCTGTATATATTGTGATTTGTGTTACACGAATGTTTTATGACAAAAAACGAATTTGCGAATTAGTATTATGAATATTATGTTCAACGTATTGTGTATTTTTATTTATCTATCATCTTAAATTTAAAAATATTTAATTAGAAAATCTTAACTGTATTGTTTTCCATTATACCTTATACTAAAAATCGCTAACAGCATAGCCGTCTATGTATATTATTATCTAATAATATAATCCAAACAACTAGAACATTTAATTAATTATATATTWTACGCTGGTATTTACATGTAAGTAATATAGATTATGTTATTATTGTAATCACAACTCACAAGTTTATGAATAATACTAAGAACTTTGAAAACATGTTTATGTTTACATGTATAT